TATATATATATATATATAAAGAAACCCATCTAAATAGTGTAAAGGTGTTCTGTTAAACACTGTGTTGGATGTGGAAATGATGTATGTGAAATCACTGGCCCTAAATTTAATTTACACGGTAGAATATGGTATTTCACTCTATCTTTTAGGACTGAGAATACAGTTCTGAGAAACCTCAAATTAATCATTGCACACATGAAAAAACAACAAGTCAAAACAACATTACTAACAAAAAAAACACAGTTCCGGCTCAAATGAAAGAGTATATCGAAAAGAATGGTGGGTGATTGAATAAAGCTATAAAAATGAGCTATTTTAGTAATCCTTATATAAAGAATGACCCATTTTGTTGCATCTTCATCAGCAAACCATATCTGTTCATTTCAGCAGGGCTTAGTTTAATGTAATTTCTCTCATTTTTCCACATATTGCCATAGCGTGCCATGAGGAATGAGTGGCAACATGCAGTATCACGTTCATAAATGTCTCCTGTGGCCTGTTTCTGAAGTAGAAAGAGCTAAATATTGAATGGCTTGTAGCTATTTTGATGCTTTTAAGGCAAAGCAGGTGCTATATTAATACAGACGGGGCAGTGAATCCCCAGCAGGAAAACAATCAAAGGAATTAAACGAATCAAATACTAAATGCAATCAGCATGCATGAATGTTCAAGTACAGCAGATAAAACAGGAGCACAAAACCTTCTCAAACGCAGAGAAAAATGAAGCCAAAAATCCAGCAGAAATGTGTCAGACAAAATTACCTGAAAAAGATACCGGTGTCTGCAATACTTAATTTATGGCATTATTAAGGGATCATCAGTGTCTTATGGTCGGCTATGGAATGATGGAGTGTGTAATTATATTTAGTCCCACAAGGATATGAAGCATAGCCGAGGGAAAGATGAAATTAATTAGAACTCTCATCCACAAAGTTAAGACCATTAATGATTAGCACTGTAATTTCAATAATAACTCATACAGGGTGTGGTAAGAGATTATGTATATTATTATATTTATTACACCTAAATAATAGACAGTGATGACTGAATACAAACACAATCTAATTTACTTACTACACTGTGTCAATGAATAATGCAATTTTATTGGAAAACAGTGCGTGTTAAAACCTTAGCTGATACAACTTTGGTAGATTGACATTATTGTGTTGTATATGCCTGTGTTATATTCAGACTGAAAGATGATAGTTATTATAATCACAAGACTGTCTGGAAGGGGTTAAAACACCTGTTGACCTTTCTATTAGCTTAGTAGTAATATTATATGTATTCATTTTATTGAGACTTTTTAAAAAATTAAGAACTTTCTGTGAAGTTTCTCACGGCACAATAGTAAAAATTACTTTCTTTTTTGTAAAGAGATACTTTCACTGCCAGTTTGAGTTGAACTGAAAAAAGTCCTTTGCTGCTATTGTGATGCCTTTTTTAATCTTTCTAACATCAGTCATCATCAGTTTTTTGTTCTCCAAATCTAGCAATATTGGTGTTTGATCTGTGCCATTTTGGAGCATTTTTAGATGATCTATTGTAATTTAAGTGTATAATATATGATTGTTATCTTGCCTGTTGTC